AACAGAGGTGGTGGACCAAAAACTTATAATTCAGAGATGATCCCTTCCAGATATCACCACACCCCCCACCCCATCACAGAGGAACAAAGCACCTATCCGCTCCAGCCGGTGAACAATACCTCCTTAACGACCGAGCTTTAACAATCATAGACAGGTTTCAGATATTACAGGCTAACAATGGAACCAAACGACCCAGTCAACGGTTTCCATTTGCATGTTTCCAAGCAATACAAGATTTTGTCTGTATAAGACTCAAACTCACTGCAGATCCAGAAATTTGAATTGAGAAAGCTTCCTGGAGAGGTGGCGAAACGTCTTCAAATCTTGGAAACCAAGTCCAGTGGATATTTTCTTTTACTTTTATGGAATGACTATGACCTGGATGACTGAGAATCTTCATCAGCATCATCACCTAATTTTCATACTCATATCATCCAGCTGCAGGAGATTCAGAATCCCTCCATTTTTTTATTGGCTGTCTGTCAAAGCAGTGCAGACGGATAGGATAGGGTGGATGAAGAAACCAGGGGATTTTAGGAGTTTTATAGAGACTTTTACTGAAAGAAGTAATGAAAAATACATATAATTCAGCCATTAAGTTCCACACTGTGTATAACGGCTCATGAAAACTTTGAGGCAGGGATGCAGTGAGTCTACATTTACAGCAGCCTCAGTAAAGCCTCTCTACCTCCAAAATCAACAGGTTTTTTAAACATGGATCAACCCGCCACCAATCTGCATTTGGCTGTCTTCCCATTGGAAAAATAGCCGGGTCTGACCCCCCCGCTGGCATGCTGCGTGAACTCTTTTTCACTGCTGCTGCGTGTCTGATGACCCCATCATACTGGGTCAGCATTGATGATGTCATAAGTGCAACACTAATCAAAAATGAAGCAAAATGAAGGGGACCAAGGCGTAGTCGGTGTTCTTTATTGTTTGGTATGGTATCACATAAATCAGCAGGTCCGATATTCCCACTGTATGCTGATCGGAGCCGAGGCTTTTGAAGGCGAATTTAATCTGAGTCGCTTGTTACCCATATATGTCTGGATTTTGACTGGGATGTTCAGCATATGAACCAATACTGTTCTGAACTGCTACAGTGCTGGCTGCAAACGGATGCGCAGTTTATCAGGAAGGAGAACCTCCACACAGTCTAAAATTCTTCTGAGCCTCCCACAGGTCCTCTGTTACTATAGCCCTGAATTTGCTGCTGAAAAAGTGCATACCCAAAGTGCATCCCCAAAGGACAATGCTGCCACCACTATGTTCCACTGCGGCGATGAGATCTTCAGCCTTAGAGATGTAACCAAAACATAAAATTCTGTTCTTATCTGACCAGATTCCTTCTTCCAAATGTTTGCTGTGTCCACTGTGTTTCTTGTGGCGGGACTCTGTGCAAATCTTCCTGAGTCTTTCAACAAGGGCTTTTGTTCTTACTGCACTCTCATAAAAGAGAGTATGACTGATAGCTGTCCTGTCAACAGACTGGACTCTGACTTAAAATTCCATCAACTTTGAGTCTTAATGTAAAAACAAGCTAACTTTAACCAAACCTTCCAATAAACAGACTGTTTTGCAAATGCTGGTTTTCACAACTAAAGGGACAATTTTGTCTTAATCTCATAAACGTGATCAGAACTAAATTCGGCCTTAGTTTCAGTCTGATCCTTCTGTTTGATGCAATTTATGACATTTTACTTCCCCAAAACAGACCTTTCTTTGATTTAACTCCATGTTTTGGCTTGCTTTATTTTTTACTCTCCTCTAATTAAATACATTCCTGACATTTGTTGGTGTTTGCGTGGTTTTAAAGTTTAGCACGAGAAGTTCTATGCTTAAACAACTACATGAGTTGAATTGAAGCTAAACCGTGCCTCGGTTAACCCCGGGATGAAGCACGCAGTTTAAATATCCAATTTGCTTATTTTCTGTTGTCTCAATACTGATTTGGTTTATCGTGCATCGAATGCAGTTCATGAAATTAATTTGGACATCATACATTAAAGGAAATCCTCTTTTAAGTGTAGAGTTTTACAAATAAATGATCTGCTTTTTAGAGAATTTGAAAGTTGTTCAAAACTAACTTTACTTGTTTGACACAGCAGATTCAAAACTATCTCTATTAAACAGGGATAGAACCAAAACAAGAACCAAAAAACAGTAAGTACATTTCATGATTTAACAGCTTAAAAGGCAGAGCCTTTAGCAGCAATCGGTTAAGGAAGTTATTTTCTGTTAATTAATGAAAAATAATGAAATTAGTAGCATCTTACGGCTCTATGTTGGTCTTTATTTTGTGTTGTGAAACTTACAATATTCATGACGGCCAGGATGTACTGCTCGATGTCCCTGCGACCGTGGTAACCCACCATCATCTTGTCAGCCACCACCAGCGTCTCCACGTACCGCTCCTGACTGACCGAGCGCTTCAGGGGCAGCTGGCCACGGCCGACGTGGAGAGGCGGGGTCTTCAGAGTCCGCTGCCACCACGAGGCCCCTTTCATTGGTTTTTCATCTGAAGTAAATGACACGCAGCTCTGATTATCTGACAAATTAAAAAGAACTTTCATAGCATTAACAAAACATAATAAAATGTGAAGTGAGTGTTTGTAAGAATGTTGAACACGGGTCTATAAAACGCTGCTGGCTTGTTTGCCTCTTATCTGGAGTTTAATGCTGCAAGTATAAAAGAGCCTTATCCCCTTTTCTCACCAGAGACTCCGCAGGACCGGCCCTTGTACTGATGGCGCAGTGATGAGCGTTTGTAAACCACATGGGGGCGCCCCTCTGTTCTCTCCCCCCTCGCTGCCCTCGTTTGGTTATCTGGTGAGACAAGCGGTTCAATGAGGTACTCCTCTCCCCCTGCAACAATCACCCCCTGCTGTGAAAGACAGATAAGAAGAGCAAAGAAATAAAACAAGGCAGGATAATATGGAAACCTGCCATGCTGTCACAGCTATCCATCACTCATAAGTGTAAAGTTATGTTAGGCAATATTCACTGCTTTGCACTCTCTGATATATGCATTTGTTCTTATCTGTTGACTTACAATTTTCAAATATTTTGCACCACAAGCCAATATCCCAAAGTTGAAAGTACTCAGGGGCCATTAATGCAAAATCATTTTAATTTGAATTTCATCCTTTTCACCTCTTCAACAACAAACCAAACTGTCATTTATTTCAACAACACAAAATGTCAAGAAAATGTTATGCAAAAGGTAAGGGCAAAAACTGTTTTGGGCTTAAACACTATATACAGTTAAAGTGCAAAATAGGGACAATAATTTAAGTCAAAATGGAGGTAGTTTTAATCTTTACCATAATTGAATGAGTTTCGAGTAGTTATACCTTTAAAGGAGAAGTTCGGTTTTTTACACTTTAAGCCCATTTTCTGTAGTGTCCAGGATGAAATCGAATGATCGACACCAAAGGTTTGACAATTGCTCCTGTCTCTGCTTTTTGGCTCATTTAGAATCACCCCCTGGCTGCTTTAGAATGGCTTTCATAG